GTTTTCCCTGTGAATGTGTAAGTACTAGTGTGTACATGTTAGTCAACTTGGTAGGATGAATGAGAAAGAAGAAAAAAAGGAGAGATGAAAGCTCGCACAACACTTCAACCCGTGCGGCGTCGGACATGCGGTTGAAGAGATGATGTACCGCTAGAAAAAAAAAATGAATTGATTTCAGGCCAGTTGAATGTTGTGATGGCCAACTGTAGACTACGAGCCGCTTGCCGAATATCACGCAGTGGCGCACAGAGTATTCAGATAACATAAACCAGTGAAAGTGAATCCTTGACCGAATGAGAGCACCAGCCTTGAGAATGAGAGCACTAGTCCTGAGAATGGAGACGGGAGTCGCCGAGCATCGCAGCAGGAGAATGAAGAACAGCCACTGAATCACCTTGAAGACTTGAATCCATAGTGAAATCCTGGGGGGAAGAACGGGAATGAACAGAATCAAAAATGCAGATGTGTGCGTTTTAAGCTGAAAGGCTCGGCTGTGCAAAGGGATACGCGGCCGCAGTATACAGGGCCGGCTGAGTACGCATCCTGCGGCAGGTGCTGCGGGTATACTGCCGGAGCAGGAAAACTGTTAAGAAGGCCTCGAGGTATATTCCAGTTACTGAATCGGGATAAGAATTCGGGCACAGGACTCATTTATTTACCACGACCGCCCGAATCCCCGGTGCGAGCGCGGATATCCGTGAGACACAGGAGCCCATTGGGAACATATGGAAAGTGATGAGAACTAACGACAGGCCGCGCATCTACACCAAGGCAATAGCGTGGTCTCAGAGTAACAGTTTTCAAAGTTTCAGAGTGGGTAGAAAGGACACGCGAGGAGAGAACAAGTTAGAATGGTCAACACGGAAGAAGAAAGATGGACGTACAAGGGTCCGGGATGGGGAATGCGGGCCGGAAGGCAGGCGTCGAAAGGAAGCCTGTGATGTGGGGTTACGAGAAATGAGAGGAATACAGGTAATGGAATGCACTCGCGAAGTTGTGGTGGGAGGGCACGATGGGGAATGCGGGCCGGAAGGCAGAGCCGTCGAAAGGAAGCCTGTGATCTGGGGTTACGAGAAATGAGAGGAATACAGCGAATACTGGAATGCACTCGGGAAGTTGTGGTGGGAGAGCACCTGCACTTGGTGGGAGAGCACCTGCACTCGGGGTAAGGAAGACGGTCATGAAGAGGGGAAGGGACGGTGCACACCATATTCTGACATCATGCCTCCGGGGGCGAGAACACCGACGCGATCGGTGACACCTAGGCAGAAGCGTGAACAAGCTGCATGAAGAGGATCAGGAAACAGTGGAAAGTCGGAGTACCAAACCGTGGTGGGCCCCTTGGGCAGTGATGAATGCGCAGGCATCAAAGCGAAAGTCCAGGTAATATTCCATCGAGAGATGCAGGTCGCGGAGGAGAGCCGCCTAGTCACGACCGAGGACAATGCTGCTTGCGGCGATGCGAGAGATCTCGCATTTCAAAGTGACAGACAGAGAACCGAGGGGACCGCCGCCGAGTCACGAGATACGCAGAGTCGCGGGCCAAAGGGAATAAGAAGCGAAGCGATCGGACAGAATTGTGCGGGAGACGGCCTTGGAGGAGCAAGAAGAAGTGTAACCTGTTAACCAAGACAGACATGAGAGGTAGGCAGAGAGGGTTGGGGAAAACAGGACAGCAGAGAGGAGCGGAGGAGCCTTAAGCGTTCCTCGCTTAGACCTCGGTACATCGGACATCAATCCGGATATTTGTTTCGTAGGTACATAGCGACAAATATTACCTCCTTACACCCGAACTACGAGCATCCCCGCGCCCTGTGATCCGAGTGCTCCACCGTGAGCACGGCGCCAGTGAACAGAATCCACCCGAGCCCCATTTTATCCCCTCTGCTGAGTCCTTTCGAGCCACACCCGTACTTCACGCCCGCACGGCAGTATCCCCTATCCCGAGCCACTTTCCATTCCAGGAACCCTTCACCTATTTTCCCCTTCATTCTTGCACCTCATCCCCTGGACTTCCGATCCACATTTCTGGCTACAAGCCAACAACTCGCCACTGCGACACCGGGGACTGTGCGGTCGTTTGGGGCCGTGAATGGGATAGCAGTGCTCCGAAACTAATACATCGCCCAGATGTTCACATGGCCTGCGTTGATCTCCTCAACCTGCTTAAAGGGACCGCAAAGGGCTTTACGAGCCATATCAGATACGCACGGTTACTTGGGTATGGGGTACGGGCCATGTGACCCAAGAGGAAGATTTTGTGAATGAGGCCGTAACTGCACTCATGGCCCTTCAAACCGAAGAGCCCATCCGCGCAGCTTGGCGCAACAATATCTCTACATAACTTGTGATCCCAATTTTCTTGCCTAGTAGTACTTTATGTACTCCTCTGACTAGCACTTGTTATGAATTCAAATTCAGAGTTCAATTTTTATCAGTTCAAGAAGTTTTATTTAGGGCGGGCGTCGCAGTTTATACAGGGCAGGGTCGAGTTTATAAGGGGCAGGGATCGGCTCACGCCCAAAATAAACTACGCCATGGGGTAGGCTATATATATGGGGCGTGAACCATCAAAACACCCCTAATGTAGTAATCCGACCAACTGTTCAGTGGCGGGTGATCCCAGCTTTTTTTATGTGTGCATCAAAAAAATCCTTGGTCTTCTCGGGAAAAAGTAATGAACACTTGATCGGATTGGTACAGTAATTTATGTAAGGCGGGCGGAGGTGAGTTTATATGGGGCGGGATTAAGAATCCACTCTTTTTCCCGCTACTTCAAGCCGCTTGAACCATTACTAAGCTAGTCATAACCTTCTTTCCCCCCCTCTCCTCAACCTTCACAATTCGGACTGTCGTCTGTTCCTTCGCACTACCGCCCGTGGTGACCGTGGATTTGGAGACCTGCGCGACTACGCCCGGAGTCACCGCCAGATCCTGGAGGCTGTTCAATTTCACGGTGCTGTTTGCGTGCAAGTTCTTGATGGCCTCAAAGACCTGCTCCTTGGTCTGGGATTTGCCGTTGAATCTGTGGTGTTTAGAGTTAGTCCAGTTCAATGCAACAACATGTTCACCGCACTCAAACACGGCATCGCTAGCAATCTCGTTCTCGAATGCCGTGATACCCCCAGCCTTGTCGCCGGCGAAGAAGAGGCGCTCGAAGAGCCCGTTGACGAAGTCAGTGGTAGACATGATGATTAGGGTGATGTGTGTGAGGAATGCGAGGATGGGAGTTGTATGTATGTTGGATGGCTATCCGGAGTCTTATAAGTATGGCCTGAGATGGAAAAATCATTACACAACCAAGAAGGACAGTACAGTACGATGACCAAGGCCTCGCACATTTTGGCCGAGAGCAAAGCGACTTACGAAAAAGAGATGACAGCCTTTCCAAGTTTTACGGACGATGACGTGATCGCCGCTAGTTCTGCGCCTAGATTGAGTTGAATCCGGATATAAATCAGCACAGCCGTGGCGGCCGTAGCCATCTCTGGCACGGTTTTCCGGTCGTGCCCGTTGGAACGATGCGCAGTTCTCGTGTGTCACCCCGCCCGAGTGCCCGCTCCAGTGTTCTCTGGACGTGCTCGGAAAAAAGGCGCTCGGAAAAAAGGGCTCGGAAAAAAGGCCGTCGTTGACTCCTTGGTATTGCGCGAGGCCTCGAAAGGTGACATGGTATGGAGAACCTTTCCCTCGGGTCTGAATCCTAGGGGATAGTAACCCTGCCCAATGCGGAACTTTCTGTGTCCTCGGAAATTGCATAGCCCAATCTGGGGACCTATATAATTATACGGACCCAATGAGGTAGCAGTAGAGTTGATCAAGGTTCACATCAACCCACACGATCACGAGCTAGGAATCCGACACTCGGACACGTCATTTCGTACATATTGCGCAAGGCTTTGAGACGCGACATGGTATGGAGATTCTTTTTCTCAATCCGAGGTGATCGCCAGCAGGCTTCTCCTGCGCTGGTCCAGGAACGAGCAGACTCGGCGGTCAATTTTTGCTTCCATAGCATGCATCCTCTCCGCTGCTTATGCCCCTCTTTTATTACCCGGGTGTCGGGCTTTGAACACGTTGTCTAAAATGCAGCATCACCGCCTAACTCACTCCGGCGGCACCTCTTCTCCTACCTCTAAATCAGCATCAGACACCTCCGATGACCCGGAGAGATTCATTTTGCTAATATTAATATTGTACAGATCCCATTACTGTTACTCGCCCCCCCTGTATACGATCCAGGCCGGAGTTGAACCGCGGAAACCAATGCGGCGTTGGAACAATATTAAGAGGGAGCGCACACTGCATGCTACTGGGTTTCTTCTCCGTCGTTTTGTTCTCGGATAGGTGTGCGAATAATTAGCGAGTGGATGTAGTGACTGAGCACTAACAAACATGCGCAGCGAGACTCCGCGGGGTTGAATACGTACTTTCGCCAGAGAATCGTGTATTCGTTAAATAATACTTGAAGACTACTGTTAATGTAGACGGTACGTCGAATAGTCTGTCCGCAATCGTGAAATATAAATGCAGAAGGCAAGATAAGAAGGAAGACTTGAGGGCGCAGAACCACAGACACCGAAGCAGCAGCCGTAGCGCTGTACATAGCTGGGTCGCAGCGACGCCGCACGGCACGAGAGACAGCGCGCCGCCCACGGAAAGGAGGAAGGAAGAGCAGGGGTGGAGGTCGAGGTAAAGTGCTGCAAAAAAACCGCCTGTGGTTCTCGTCAGCCCCCCGAAGATCCGCCGCACCACGGGCCACGTACCGAGGGCGCGGGGAGTGTTCCACTTCTGGGACATTGCAAGAGCAGCCACTGATTGAGAAGCCAGTGGTGCTCCGTGTATATACTACGCCCGCTTGTTACCTGGATGTGGAGCTTGCTACCACATGCAGCGCGCAGCAGGCTTCGTATTCATCCGATTCAACAAACTGCAATATGTAATGAGCCACGAAAGCAGGATTCCTGCTGAAGCAATAGAAAATCATTTTCTGACACTCTGCATGCGGACGCGGGGAGTCGAACCCCGTTCAACTGCCGACATTGACCCAGTAAAAATCATACAATGCAGTGGGGCGCCATGCCCCACGTCCGCTTGGTACCTGTATTCTGAGGCTCAATTTATTTCAGGCTGTAGACCACCAGAATGTGGATTATGTTGAGGTTCTGAAATCCCCCCGGACATCTTTTGTTCTCGCCTTGCCAGAGGCAGCAAACAGCACGAGGTCAAGGCACGCTCCCCTCTTCACTCCATCTCTACTATCCAGGTATCAGGCAAATACTTGAGGTGCGGGGAATTATTTATCGAACGTGCACCGTTTGTTCCTTACCTTTTACCACTGTGCAACTGCAATGAGCGCGCGCACACCGCCTTGTATGGCTTCGCGTATATCGGTGCGAGCCGTGGGTCCCCGAGACACATCCCGTGGTAACTGGACAGCAAAATGAACCCCCTGCGCTAGGTGGTCGAGCGCGTAGCCTATTTCAACGCCAATCAAAAGGGAAAAGGACACACAGGACGTTCTGCATCGTAACCAGAACACACGGAAGGACGCTAAAATGCGGGCAGAGGCACATCGCGTGCTGTCTTGATTCATTTTCTCTGTAAAGCCCGGATGAACAGATGCCGTGGGACGCGGTAGATTTCATATGCATGAATTCAGACGCAGGTCGCGGGCTATTAGGTCTCCTTCCCTCCGCTGGTATATTTCGGCGAGCAATTAGCGAAAGAATGAACGGAAGAGAAATTGCTGAGGATATGTCCATGACCCAGCCTGGAATCGAACCAGGATCTGTTTAATCCTCGAAACTACACTGTTCATGGATGGCAGACGCACACCGGGGTCTGCTGAGATTAATTATGTCCTTGTATTTGTGCCGCAGTGATTAGCTTATGAATGTGATAAGTGAAAAAGGGAACTCTTCACCGTGAATGACCCAGCTTGGAGTCGAACCAGGATCCTCCGCACAAGTGAGGAATGTCGCATGTTACGGACAGCAGATGCACACCGCGTACTACTGGGTCTACTTCCCTCGATTCCGGACTGTAAGAGAAATGAGGTTTACGGAAGTGTGCGATGGGAATTGCACAAATGTAATACCTCGAGAATGAATATATTTGAGTTCAGGAACCCCTATATAATCAGTCAACCGATACGTGGGTAACTTGAATGATAGCTTCACCAAGTTAAAGACCGGATCTAAGTCGTACTTCAAGTCTAGCAACCTGAAAGCAAGGAATAGATGGGAAGCTCTAATTATACTGCAAGGTCTAGCAACGTCACAGCAGAAGCAAAGCAATTCTAATTGTACTACAAGGTCTAGCAACAATGCAGCAGAAGTAGGGTGTACTGTAAGGTCTAGCAACGTTACAGTGGAAAGTAGGAAATCAAGTGAGGCTTGGCGTCACTGAAAGGGAGCTGGCTGCTCGGAGATCACACAGATGTGCGGTTCAGATAGGTGTATTGGCAAAGTAAGATTGGATGTCTACAGAGAGGAAGACACTCCTCTTATATACTACTAACTACTGACTGAGTCATAATTAAATGACTCACTGTGACTCAGACTGACTCCAATGACACTGCAATGCACTGGAAATGCGGGAGTGAGTCACGAGGCAGTGTTCAACCGTGAGAAATAAATACTAAATACGAGGCATGTAGGCTGAAACACGAGGTAAATAATTGCCTATCTACCCAAAAGTGCCAATATCCATCACACGGACCTACATAAGTACAGCGATGATTAGCGGATGGATGCGATAACGAGAAAGCAGGGTTGAGGGCAGCATGACCCAGCCTGGAGTCGAACCAGGACTTTCTGCGTCATATTGGACGAAGGAGCTAACGAGGGCAGACGCACGCCACTGGCCACTGGGTCTAGTTCTCGCAAGTGAGCTCCTCGTGGCCAGAGAGTTAGCGAATGTAACGAGGCATGCATTGAATATCAGCGCACCAGTTCGAATGCGGAGCGTTGATTCGTGCAGTGGGAAAATATCCTGAGTGGAGCACGTAGGCTGCGCGCGGGCTCGATGCCAAGGAGTAGTGGTGGCAAGGTTCGGTTCAGAAATAGGTTCGAACCTGAACCGAACCGAACTGAACGCGAGGTTCGGGGTTCGGGGTTCGGGCTAGAGCCATTTTTTCCGAACGCGTTCGAACCCCGAACCGCAAGGCGCCGATGTCAACCCGGCGGAGACCTATTTTGAGGGATTTTCAGCTCATTATTTGCAGTTACACTCACCTGGTACCTCATTGGCCCTCTCAATATATTATAAAGGTCGTTTCCATTCCGTAGTGGGCCCGTAGACCGCGAGATGGTGTGTCATCACGTGGTACATTCAGCCAATGTTGAATCGAGATTTGTTCAAGTCAACGCTCCGGGGTCCCCGAACGTCTCTCCGCTCATTCCACGATGGAAATAGACAGGTAATGACCTATATTGAATTATTTTTTTCCCTAACTAGATGGTTTGGGGCCTGGGAAAATCATTCAGGTTCGATGCAGGTTCAGGTTCAAGGTTCGGGCAAAAGGGCCCGAACCTGAACCGAACCGAACTTTGCCATCACTACCAAGGAGCGGTTGGTTGGATTGCGCAGTTTGAGTTGTTGGATATTAATGCGAATCCGAGAGTCCCTTCCGGACAGCCGGAGGACTCCGAGCTGCGGAACGAAGGCTGTGGACGGCATGGATGACGGAGACTCGAATCGGAGAGTCCCGAGTAGAGCGGGGTGCAAACCGGAGCCAGATTGAGCGGTGAATTCGGACGGTGGAGGATGTTGTGTACGGAGATTAAAGATAGTTAATCGGTGCGCGATACCCGGTGGGATCGATGCGGTCTAAGTACAGTTAAAAGAATCCAAAGCGTGCGCGAGGCAAACGCGCACCCGCGCCCGTACCCAAAGCAGGAGAAAGTGAACATCTTAGAACATCGGGTGTAAATATATGGAGTTTTCGGTTCCTACGTCGCCAGAGGAATGTGATTCACGGTACAGCTGGCGGAATGGAGGGAATTTTCTGTGATGCTCGAGCTGAGGGTGGGCTCAGACTGCGGCACGGAGAAGTGTTTGTGCGAGGCATTACTCGCGTTGCGAGGGATGCGATGCGTCACACACGAGGGGATGCGACTTTGGAAGCCGACGGCCGGCGCCGTCGGAGCTGAGTGTTGGATACAATCCGGGCGTTGGAATGGAAGTTGAGATACACTGAGAGGAGGGACGATTTTGACCAAGTGTTCAAAAAAAAAATTGAAATTTTCGGTCGCCGAGATGACCGATAAATTTTCTTTTGATTTGTCGCAATTTTTAAAAGCCTTGTAAAAATCGGCTGTTCCGCGTTGCGTGAGCACTTGCTCGAAATACTACAGTATTCCAGAGGGACAAACGCGGAAAGGTAGGGAATGATCCAGACGCATCCGACCCAGCGAACTTGCGAACGAGCGCCACTGCCAGCCAGATGCCATTAGCGGCTCCGTGCAGCCATTGCGGTTCTACGTCGGCTGTTCGAGGATAAGAGAAGTTGAAAGCTGATGCGGATCACTGAGGCCATCGGTAATCGGGTCGCATGGCCGACCTTTTTCACCCCTTCCCTCGCTCCGGCTTGAACGAACCCTCCGCTTTATGCACCCCACTGTTTCACGACTCGATCTGCGACCAGCATGCGCACAAGCACCTCCGCCCTCCTGCCCTCGTTGCCGCCCGAGTCCTACCTGAGCCTCTGTCGGCGCGGTGTCCTCCCGGCGGCATGGCTCCGCGCCGGACGGCACGTCCGTGATCTGCGCGCGGGGAGTGCGCACTGAGGCGCCGCTAATGATGGCGGGAAGTCAACGGGAAGCTGGCGGGAAGAAAAGATGCGTGTCAGCAATGTCGGATCACACGGCACATCGTCACATGTTCCGCCCGGTGTCGTCTCCGATTCCTGCAAAGTTCCACGTAGGGTCCTTTTGGAATCATTCGTTTATCAAGGCGCCAGAGATCCTTGCCCGGAATCAATGTTGGGACATAGCATCCCTTTTTTTCCGCTCGCGCTGGGAAAAAAGGCATGTTATCCAAAACCTAATCAAAGCGAGTTCCATTTTATATAAATCGGAGTCTAGTTGAATATCCAGCACAGGTGCCTGGAATCTCAAGACCCGGTATAAACCCCTGATTTCACAGAAGCCATACGCTTACCGCATCACTCATTCATTCGGAGACAGCGGCCAGATGCCGATCGCTCCCGCACCGCTTCATCAATGTCGCAATCGAGGCCAAGACTGACGGTATATGGCGATGCTGGCGCCTATATAATACACTTCCCTCCCCACGCATGCACTGTCTCCATCCCAACATTGTACCGCAAATGAATATTCAAGTCTGGCCATCTACGACTGCTCTTTCTCCTTAACCAGGCCTGGTGCACTGTCGTGCAAGCACGTTTGACCCGTGTTCAGTGTATTCTGAAGCACACATCTTTGCTCTCTAGGCATGGACATACGAAAACACAGTTATTCCTTGCAAATCACAGGAGGCAGGAGCTGCAGCCTAGACAATCTATACTATACACGCCTTCAGTCTGATGTGTCCAATCAAACCCCAACACTCTTAATCCCCTCTGCCTGCAACTTGACCCAAGCCGGCCTGGAGATGATCTCGTTCCACCATCTTGCAAAGGGGTGAGCCCACGAAGCTGCGAAAGCTAATGGTTCCGCACCTTGTAACATTCGGCCCTTTGTCCGCCATGACATCGACACCTGCCTTGATCAGTGCCGGGGTGTAGCAAAGGTGGAACAAATCTGCCAGAGTGAATTTCTCACCGCGGTGCGTGAGACCAAGAGAATCGGCGTAGCGAAAGAGACTCACGTCACCGCCGAGGAACTTCTGTTTACCGAGGATGACCTCGTATACCTCGAGCTTCGCGTTCAACTCGGATTTGGCTTCTTCCAGCGCGGCCTCCTCTATGGGGAGGCCTTGGCGCCTAGAAATTCACACCCGTGGATCAGTCTCTCTTGCATACCCAAATCACAGACATTCTCACTGTTGCATAACACTCGCTGTGCCGATCTTGATCAGCGGCGGGAAGAAATCTGCGAACTCGATGGACGCGGCCTGTTCGAACAGCG